CCTGCCGCCCTCGGGAGGCGTGTAGGAATATAGAGTCCTGTTTGTAGTGTTCGGTGTATAGGGTGTCAAGTTGTTTCACCGCAGCCGTTCGGCTTAAGCAGAAGGACTCAAAGAGCCTAAACGTCCGCTGCACTGCCCTAAACCATAGACCTCATTTGGGCTAGTACTGACTGCGCGTGCTCGGTATGTTTTCTTGGAGGATTTTGTGAATCTTGTCTTCTTGCAGACTCAGGAGTTGGAACTGCATGTGTTCTCATTAAAGTCGGCTTGAGTATTCGCGAGTTCCAGTGCAACTTTTGGGAATTTCCCAAAATAATTATGGAAACCCTATGATGAGCCTCAAGACTTTATAGCCCTTATTATGGGACTTCAGAAACGGTACCCCTGATTTTGGGAAACATCTAAAATACCTATAGACCACCATATACTCCCGAACTCCCAGTTTCCATGTCATTTTCCATTTTCTCTTCCATTTGGTTCTCCATGGTTCTCCATTATTAGGAGAATATCCGTATAACATCCTTATAGACTAACAGAGTTGTAGGCGACATTACATTCCGCAGAGGGACTCTGTCCGTAAAGATGCGCATTCATGTGAAACAGGCGTGGCAATTTTCATTATTGGCAATCTTTCGCGCTACAGTGAAGAAGCCCAGACTAGGCTTCAGATGGATCATATAGGGTTATGTAAGGGTTATATAGGTGTGTATATTATGTGTATATATATAATAGATGTAGTATTACAATGGGATATATACACATATATATATATAGGTTGGGTGAAAACCCTTCAAAGCTTGATTCCATGGAGGTTTTGGGCTCAAGCCTCACAGAGGTAGGTCGGCTTCGCGTAGGGAGCCGAAGGGCTGCAGAGGTAGAGCACATGGGCCGCCTGCTTCGAAGCAGAGGCCGCATTCGTGTCAATTCTGAGTGTGTTCCCCTAAGCAGCAGCTTGGCAGTCTCCTTGCGTATGCTAGGATTCCATAATAGGGGAACCCCTGTGCTGTCAGACCCCCAAGTATGATGAATTGTGCGCCGCCCACGTTTCAAGAAGTATTCTCGTCTTTTGCAGGCACGAACCTCTTGGTAGTTTCCAGAACGCCGCACAACCCTCGTCCAGCGTAGCGATGCTGATAAGGGTGACTGGGCGCTTGACACTGCATAATCCTGCAATATTATTGCTACAAGTGTTACTGTTACTGTTATTATCATTGCCATTCTTATTTCTCTTGTTATTGCTATGGTTAACCAGGCCACAACATGCCATATCATTTTTTCTATTACTGTCATTTGTTCCTTGCACATGTGCTGGCAAAGCTCCAGAAGCCCAGCATTTGAAGTGGTGTCTCAAGGCTTTCTATTGGGGGTAAGAAGGGAACAAGGGAATGTGAGTACATGTAGGGTTCAGGGCTTCGGATAGGGAATGAAGAAATATGATATAGGAATGATGGAAGGGAAAATGGAAACTACTTCATTGTAATTGGGTATGTACGCTTAGGTGCTACGATCCTTCCCATGAGATGCAGGAATCAGGAAGACCTCACACAGGGGAAACAGTTCCCTAGTCCCTGTTGGAACCCCCAACGAGTTATAGGATCCCTTTCATCCGCTTACGATTGACCCGCCATGTTTAGATTCTTGATGTTCTCACTCCACAAATCCAGAACCCTAATTAAGATTTCCAAGTTCCTTTTGTGGAGCCTGACAGGGGGCCCAGCGCATAGATACACTCTCACCCCTCTGTCCGTAACCGCTAACGAGGGGCTGCGATGCTGACTCTGGCAACAGCAGCAGCTGCTGCTGCCCCCGCCTCGGTTCGCAGCTTCATTCCCGGATACGTACGGAACAACCGCGCAATTATTGTACTGTGGGCCTCAATCAAAATGCATCAAGCACGAGTGATCAGCATGGCTGCTACGAATAAAGCATTCAAAGAGGATTGCGAACTTGATATAATCTGCTTGCAAAAAGACACGGCAAAATGAACGTTGCAAGAAGCATTCTTGAAAACCAGCGGCTGGCTTCTTGATTCTCTAGTGGGAGCGGTTGTGCAATAGGAGCTGCTCTCTGATTTAGATGCTAGCAAAGCGAACGCCAGGCAGCGCTGCTCCACAGCTTGGCGTTCGTTGGAGGCACCTTGAGTAACACTGAGGACTACCTGCTGCATGACTGCAATACAAGCCCTGTACTGTCTGCAGTATTTCGTAGAGTCTCTGGGAGTTGGTTGGTTGAGAGGGCCGGGCCAATACTCTTTAAGACTCGTCACCTTCTGTTCCGCCTGACCAGACCTCCATGATGCGTTCTTTGCTCCTGAAGGTGATCGTTTTCCAGTTTAATAATTTTGGAGAACTGAAGCACACCCGGCTACGCTCTGGCGATTTGGCCGTTTGTCAGCTTGGTAGGTTTACAGCCTCAACACAGACGAGGCTGGACCACTGCTGCCGGTCAACAGAATTTTAGGATATGTTAGGTACAAATGCGAGCAACTCTGGGGGCTAGAAGCAGGGCTTTTCAACCATAATTCTTTCGCTTGAGGGGCGCCAGCCACATCAAACACCTTCTATAGAAGAACTCACTTCGTAACCAATCTTGTAGAAACACACCCGTAATATACCATAATATGCTATAATATAGTAAAATATTATAGAAGATACTGTAATGCAACACTTCTTGGGGATGCCATCTTTTGCCGTGTGAATTCTAAGCTGCAGGTCTGCTCATGGCGAGGGCGGCGCAAGTCACGCCGCTTGGCAACCAGGCAAGAGTTTGGGCTTCACACCTGTACCATAATATACCATAGATATTACGATATAGTAATGTATACTGTATACTTTAAAACAGTAGAACATAGTATAATATGCTATGGCTATGACCTGCCATTTTTGAAGCCCTGCCAGACAATGTAAGCAAGGCCTGGGGATTATAGACTCAAAGAGTGCCTGTCCAGCAACATTTGGGATCCACCAAATTTGCTGCTGGTTTTGGACTCTTGGTCACCAAAGGCTACTCCATTCTTCGTCGGCAGACGGTGAAAATGGCAAACGGTGTAGATCAGCTGGCAGGGGTTCACTGCGATGCCACCTGTAAAGATACGGAACCCGCTTGGCGCCTTCGCAGATGCATAGACAGGTCTTGCTGGAAGAGCTGGATGAGGCTGAGGAGACACCAGAGTTGTTGTATTGGAATTAGCGTTGCTGTTGTTTGAATGCAAACGTTTCTATTGTAGCTGAAGATCAGCAACAGCTGCTAATGGATTGTGCCGACCAACGGCAATTTCTGCCCTTAAGGCAAGACAGAGGGATACAGCGTGGTACAGAAGGCTAGAAAGGTTGACATTGTCTCAGGCCACACCTCTGCGTGAAAGTTCACCGGGACTTTTCTTGCTGCACTACAAGCCTCTGAGCTCCAGACAGCAAAGCTGAAGTTCAAGAGCTATTCCTGAAAACAGAACTGGGGGTTTCCCAAAATTAGGGGTACCCTTTTGGGGGTCCCTATAGTAAGGATTATAATATTTTGGGGTCTATATGGGGGAGTACCCCAATTTTGGGAAACTACCGGCGTGTTGTTCCTGTTTTCACAACACACAGATAGCCAACCAAAACAGGCCCCAGGCCCCCTGTTTCACAACAATTTTCTTGGTAAACGCGTGACCGGTCCGTCGTAGTGGCCATTCTCAAGCAGCTCGGACATGCCGTCCCCTGAAGACCGTCCCCTGAAGATGTAACATGTACTGGCTAGGTAAGCTTTATGGAACTCATATACCGCTTGCTTTGAGGAGACTACCGGCCTCCTCCTAGCAGAAGGAAGCAAGAAGAAGACCCGACTCCGTCTAGGCGCCGCGGTTTTGAGCTGATTTTTGTTGGTTTAGATCGTTGCGTGGAAGTTCTGATCCAACTGCATCATAATCTGGTGGCTTCCCTCATAATCAGCAAACCCCAACATAGACCCGAAAATAGTAGAATCCTCACTATTGCGACGCCTAGTTTCCGGAAACCCCCAGCATCAGTTCATGAGTATGAAATCTTAGAATGAGAGGAAAAGTTAAAACTCCAGACACCTGTCACGAGATGTCAGGTTTGTACCCACACAGACATGCCCAAAAATGCAGCTGATAAGCCAATTTCTGCGCGAAGAGCCCCATGCCACGGTCTCAACTGAATTACAATGTGCAGCCTACAAGCTGTTCTGTAAGTCCTGCACAGGGCGTGTAGAAGCGCTGGGTAACGGGCGAGCCGAGAACAAGCGAGAGACTCAGTGCTTCCAGTGTACCTTTTTGGGGGGTCCCCATTGTAAGGACCATAGTATTTTGGGGTCTATATTGGGTTCTCCTTAATTTTCGGGCAACTACCAAAAAGTTTGCTGGCGACATGCCTTTATTGCATTCCTATTCTGCTAGACTTGAGGAAGTAGCCTCAGTGCACTTTTTTTTATGCCAAGAGCTTTAATCAAAGGTGTAGTAGCTATCAATACAATCCAGCCACCATGGCAGTGTGAGAAGAATTTCTGTAACAATCCCGGAAATGTCAGGCGCACTTCATAATCAGCCGCAAGTACAGCTGTAACAATCTGCTCAAGCCATATAGGTGTGAAGCAACTCGATGTGGTTGTTCCACGACATGATTATGGGGATATATCCCAACATGTCTGCCAACCTACTTTTGTAGGATCCGTTCTTTCCATGATTCCCTACTCCTATACGGGATGACAGTAACTTCCTTTGATCCGGTTTGGGCTGCCCGGAGGCGAGAACCAAAACTTCTCGAGGCTGGCATTTATCTCAAGTGAGCTGTAGTCTAAACTCTTTGAAGGGGTTACATGGGGGATTATATAGGCTTTAGGGTTTAGGGTCTAAACTCCTTCAAGGACCTTATATGGGGGATTATTTGGGGGAGTATTCTGGAAATTATTCAGGGAGGATACTAGGACGCAGGCGTGCTTTAGAGTTTTGGAAATGTTTTGGAGCATGAGGTCTAGGGCTCGGTGTATGGCTTCGAAGCCCTGACTATGAGTCTATGCCATTGACTCATTTGGAATGTTCAGGGGTACAGGGGATTATTAGATGCAGGGGAGGGAAACTAGCGCAGGGGGAACGTGGGGGCGTGCATGCGGGCTGACTGTTGAAGCAATGCCTGCCTTTCCCACCTTCCTCTTGACCAGCTGTTCCTGGCTTCGTTCGATTTCGTCCGAGAGATTTGAAATACTAGGGCCGCTCAGGGTCAGAAGGGACCACAATTCTGACATGCCACTACAGAGCTAGTGTGGAGGCAATTGGTTGAACTGTTGCAGGCCCTGAAAGTCGGGGACACGGTCCTTTGGGAAGACTTCTCCAACAGAAAGCTGGAGGCTCATGCTACGTTTGAATGGCTGGCACTTATGGTTCATGGGCCATAAAAGCAAATACTCTAAACACGAAGCCATGACCTTCAAAAATTATTGCCCGGCCTTTGCGCAGGCAAGGATCAATCTTTTTCGCCTTGGGCTACTTGGGGATTTCCCAAAGTAGGATGTCCTTTTTGGGGGGTCCCTTCAATACTATTTGGTGTCCATATTGGGCTCCTCCTTCTTACGGAAAGGTGTTATTCATCTCGGATGAGGGAATGAAGTAGGGGGATGTCCTAAAGTGGGCTTCTGGTTTGGAGAGGATTTAGGGTTTAGTGCTTAGCATACTTCGGACGAAAAAATCAGGGCAAGTTCAGAGTCTAGATCCTAATATACCGTATTCTCGTTATGGGAGTTCCCAAAAGTGGGACCCCCCAATGAATGGAAACCCCTGAAATCCCCTGAAACCTTAAAGTCCATATACATGTTCACATATATATATATACTTTACTTCTACGTATGTGTGTTTATGTGTGCTTATAAAAGCTCTTGGTATATATACATATGTATATCCCCTACCCTATCACCATGAGGAGACCCGTGAATTCTTGAAAAAACTCCACCTGGCAGGAAGATTCAGACAGCAAGCTGTTCCTCGTCCCCATCCGAAGTGTGAAAGCAAAGGCTTGACAGCGGCAGTTGCAAGGGAATGTTACCCATTGGGGTAATATTACTATTGGGATAATGAAAAAGAAAATGGAAACTGTAGGGATTATAGGGTTTATACAGGGATTATCGGGGATATATTCGGGTTATATTGGGATAATGGAAAAGAAAATGGATACTCCAGGCATTATAGGGTTTATATAGGGATTATAGGGGATATATTGGGGTTATATTGGGACAATGGAAAAGAAAATGGAAACTACTATTTAGGGTTTAGGGTTTGGCTACTGCCCCCACGCATTTAACAGTTGGATAACACGTCAATAATAAGTATCATATGAGTACATCTAGCCCTTAAGATTACCCCTAGTATAGACTGTGAATGGGTGATGGCAGGACCCAAATTCGAAATGCCACAGGAAAGATACATGGCAGCTATAAAAGCAAGCGTGGCATATTAGTAAGGGTTGCCAAGCTTTGGCATGTCTGCAATGCTGATAAGTTTCTTCTGTGCAGAACCTAGTTACGTCAACCAATCATGCTTGACAGGTCAACTCCAAGTGAGCTGCTGGCTCGCGTTGACGGGCAAGACGCCAAACTGTTTCACAACCCCATGAGTCTCCAGACAGCGCAACCCTCAGCAACAGGACCAAGGAGCAGAGATAGCAATCCGAAACGTGTATGATTTTTTCAGAACTTCCTAGGTTACTTCAGCGGCTGTTTCTGAACTTGATGGCCTGCTTTCAGACGCCCCAAAAGAAAGATCTAAACCTTAAAATGGCCTTAAACCCTAGATCCTAGCTCTAAACCTAATAAACCCAATATTCCAAACCCTGCATCCTAAACCCTACATCCTAACCCTGAGCACGAAGCCCAGATCCTGAACCAACAGGCTGAAGGACAATTATTAAGGCGAGGTCATTAAGAAGATCATGGGGGTTTAGGGTTTAGGGTACTTGGGGCCACACTTATTTCAAACTTTAGTAGAGGGACCTCGAGTGGAATTTTCCAGAAGACCGTCGCTCCGCATACAATTGCCAACTCCTGCTTGAAGGGTTGCCTTGGGTGCAGCGTAGCAAACGAGTCGGCACTTGAGTGCCATATTAGCACGGCGCTCGGCTTGGGTGGCCCGTAGGGTAATGTAGAAGATGAAAACTTTGGTAGGACAGCTCTACAAGCTGTGGCGTACGAACCACAACGCCATCCACACGAGACGCCGGCACGCATAGAAAAACTCCACAGACTATCGAGCCCAAAGTTGCTGCAAAACAAGCGCTTTCTGTGCTGGCAGGATCGGTTGTTGCTCTTGCTGGCACATGCGCATGCCTGCACGGCAGCATGCAGAATGATGATGCCGTTGCAGGGAAGTCGTCCCAAGCAATGTGACAAACTAGAACAGCTGCGCAACAAATCTCAGATCGGACAATAAAAGCCCATGTATTGCAATGCTGCTGACCACTTAATTAACTTGCTTGACTGCCAGGCAGAGGACAGCGATCCCTGACGCGTGCGTGTGCAAAAAGGCAAGCGCAGAAAGAGGCAAGCAGCATCTACTTGATTCATGCATAGAGGAGGGTTCTGAGAGGAAGAGCAGGCAGCTGTTAATATGTGCAGGTGAGGAATGTATGATGGAGAGCCAAGCTTGCAGCATTTGTATTAATTAGCTGGGGCTGTGAGTCCCATTGCCAAGACATCTGCGTCTGCCTAGGCGCATCTCTTTGGAAGACCCTTTCTAAGTCATATATGACGAGAAAAGCTTTGACTCAGACGTAGATACACTCCGCAGAGCCGTTATCAGATTTCAGTGCTCGCTTGCTGGCGCATATTGCAGGCGAGGACAACTCTGAAGTGTGCACCGCAAGAAAAATATTGCCTCCATAGTGCTTTACTCCACGTCCTCAGCAGCAGAATGGCGAGCTGTGGCAAGGACGTGGAATAAGGAATATTTGTTGGAGTTTCCAGGCTGCAGTTGCTGGTGCCGCCCCATCCTGGTTGGGGTCTAAGTTAAGGCCAGTACTACAATGGGTTCAAGTCCCAATCTGAACTGAGGTTCCTCAGAATTGCTCTTGCTACATTGCTGGCATCGGCAGGGTCTCGGTGATGCGGCTTGCGGGGGATTTGGCAGGACAAATGCCAGATGTAATGGCAAGGGCTTTGCAGGCTTTGAAAGGTTCATTTATTGCAGGAAGCGGCAGCGTGCGAGAGGAGCTGCTGTGGGCTGCCGTCGGCGGCGTCGCCTATGGCAACTCTCCCGCAACGTTGGGAATCAGTCTGATGGCTCGCGAAAGATGAACGATCTACTTCTCCAGTTCCAGAGGCTTGCAAGCTCTGCACGTGCCTTAGCGTCTGCCTCTTACCTTTGTGCGACTGACACATGAGCTAGGTGCAACTGCTACTCTGGTCGGGCAGCCATTTGACACCGTTAAAACGCTGATGCAGAAACTTGGCATGGATCTGTGGGGCCTCTGATTCTTTACTCTGGCACTCAACAAAGCCATCCGACTCACCAGCCCACATATCTCGTGTTTTCGTGGAGTTGTCAGGACTGATGGCTTGCACTGGAAAAACAAGCGTCCGGGCGCACTGCAAGTTGCCCGCCAGATCCTGCATGGAGTTGCCTGTCTTGCAAAGATGTCAAATGGGGCCTTCCCAAAATTCATAGTCCCTTTTTTTGCCGGATTTTTGAGTAGTAGGGTTTTATGGGGGCACTATTTTTCTTGGAAATCCCAATACCAAAGGTTGCATCCTGTTGTTGCACGGATGCCGTTTGTGCGGCCCAGGTTGGGCATAGCAACAGCCTTTCCGGAAATTGGAGCGGCTTCTACAAGGGCACGTTGCCAATGCTGTGTGGCTCCATAGTCTTCAGATCAGTGCCGTTCACTGTTTACTCTGGCATTTTGGCAGCATTCATGCCTGCAAGCCGGGATGCAGTTTCAGCAGTTGATTCATGACGTCCTTGCCAATCATCCGAATCTCAGGAGTCTACGCCTCCTTGCATGCAGACTCATTTGGTCCTCTCCTGGGCGTCGAGGGACGGATTTGGGCCAGTGGTGCAGCTGCTGGTGTCGTACGAGCCATGGTAGCGACTGCGCCGCAAGAGATTTATCCTCCACTCGAAGCAAGAGGCATGCTTATTGTGTGAACTTCCGCGTCTGCCAGGAGAATCCCTTCGAAGCGCTGAAGACTCAGAAGCAAGTAAGGGGCCTGGACTACAAGCAAGCGCTGAGAGCTGGGTGCCTCTGGCAAGGCTTGGTGGGATTGACATGATTGATTAAATTGCGGTGGTTTTGTCGGATAAGAGGAAGATCAGAGCGGATTCATGTCTAGAGGGGCCTCGTAAAGGCAGTGAGAGCGCTGAGAGAGGCAGCCAAGGAGGTAGTCCATGAGCGTGACCAGTGTGAGTGCCGCGGACTAGCCAGCATGTAAGGGTGTTCATCAGCCGTGGGATCCTGATGAATCATCATTATAAGAGAGGGATAGTGGAAAATGAAATGGAAATTACGATAATGGGTAATAATTCCAAAGAAAGCTTTGAAGATGCCTGTACCTTAGCAGTTTCCATTTTATTCTCCATTATCCCTATATTGCACACCCCAAAAGAGATCATCACCAGACTCGTAAGAGCTCTACTGCGTCCTTCCATTCACTCCGGAAGCCTGCAGTTACTTTCGTGGTCACACAGAGAGCAAAATAGAGTAGTATAAAAACAACACAGGACCACGGCAAAGCATTTAAGTAGTGGCAAGTAGTTTTCGAACAAAATGATGCAGCATTGTAGAGGTGGCACAGAAGCAATTGGTGCAGCAATGCAGGGAATCGTTGGTAAGCAGCACAAATGGACATCAAGAGATTGGCTTTGGTGAGGGGCTTCCCTTTAGCCGATAAGGATTCTCATTGATCGCTTGAGCGTGATCTATTTTGTCCTTTGGTGAGACTGCCACGAATACAGAGATGTCTGTGATAATTCAATTCAAGAACATCCGGCTGCTAACAGCCTTCAGTGGCGGCGAAGGTGTAGGCAGCATCCGCGGTCAAGCCTCAACAGACACCGACAAAGGCGTATGTGGCAGTGCGCAACAGACCGAGCTTGGATCCACAGTCGTTCAAACATGATCTCCTCAGCGAGAGTATGTCACAGCAGGTGAGGGAGTCCCAGCATCTTGCAAAGCATTCCTCCGTCCAGCACGAACAGTGGCAGACAAAACAAATGAGTGTTTACACACAGGTTGGGCCACAGGGGTGTGGAGCTTCATCAAGTCAGTTGCACATAGTGGCTCAGAAATACCGCCCTTAAGTCTTTCGGACTTAAACACAGATACAAAGCGTCAAGGGTTAGTTTCATCGTGAGGTGGTGAATTGCTATGCTGTGGTAGAGTGTACAAAGCCCTCACAACTCATCACCTTACAAAAATTCTGATGCATGTGCACAAGATGCGTAAGGGGTGTCCTATTTTTGGGGGGCATGCGCATGAATGATTCTACCCTTTGTCCCAGCAGGCCTGTCGGCAACATGCTGCCGGAATGTGGTTCTGGTTACCTTGTTCTTTGTCCTGACGGCTACCTGGCAAGCATTGCTCCATTTTGACAGCCAAAGCCAGCGGGGACATATGGGTCATTCTCAAAATTATGGGCCCCTTGTGGTTATGGACGATAGCAGTACAAAAATGGGGCCCTATTTTGGGAACTGCCCATTATGTTATCAGCCAACACCCTATACGTTTGTTGACGGCCATGCCGCATCCCCAGGACAAGCTGAACAGGTCGAGCGAGCTGGTAAACTTCCGGCAACATCCATTCTTACGAGGCTGCGTTGTCACGAGCTGTTGTCACCTGGCTTGCCTTATTGCAAGCTCTTTGGGCGATATCGACGGAGGCTCACATGTAATCATATGATATATGTATATCATATTATGTCATACCATTGAACGGCTGGGTTGCTCGCCTGCCGCAAGCTGCAATGCATCTCGGAACAACCTGCAGCTCAGGCAAAATGCAGACTGGTCAATGTGGTTGTAGTTGCGTACGTGATGCGAGGTTGGGTGGCTGCGTGGCCACTTGATGTGGTGAAAAGCCAGCTGCAGAGCGTTCAGGCAATCCGGCAAACTTCAGCAGTTTTTGGTACAGGTTCTGCTTGTGTAGTCTGACGTAGAACCAAGCACCATGCGCATGTGATGTCTTTATGATTCAGTGGCGAACCTTCCATGTTTGCCCTTTTGGGAAAGTGGCTGGCTGCAAGGCAGAGCTGAACACGAGAGGCCAGGCTGCGTTTGATAGACGTCCGGAACGCATAGCGGATACAGGGGACAGGGCTGCTTGATCCAGGTAGACTTCTTGGGCTTCTTGCTGCGGCTTGGCGCGAGGGGCGCTTCTACCGTGGCCTGGCAGCGGGGCTCTGCCCTCAGCTTTACGAGGGCCTGGCAACCAGCCAGAGCAGTTTGGTTTGCATCGTTCATGTGAGCTATACTCTAAACTCCTTATAGGGGGTTATCTAGGGATTATCTAGGGGACTACGATTATAAGGATCATTAAGGGGGATACTAGGAGTTTAGACTATGGTTCATGTGTCTGTTCATGTGTCTGCACGTTAATGCGAGGCTTCTCCGGGCGTGCTTGGCAAATGGCGCAGCCATGTCAGCCCACCAGAGAGTTCAGCAGATGCGGAGTTGACTGCTCAGCTCAGGCCTCCACAAAAATTCGCACCAAACCACAGTCAGGGTTCCAAAAGGTATGTGGAGAAGTTTCTGATTTCCTGTTGCTTCAACTTCCTTTTGGGTGCTTCGACTCCTAAGCTGGATCAAGGCTGCTACAAGACTTGCCGTACGGGATCCCAACGGGTCACAAAGGCACCCCAACGATGCGCAGCTTGTCCAGGTGCAAGCCGCCCTACGACGCTCCGCAAGATCAAAAGCAGCATCTGATCTGGGAGTTCATTGAGGCAGGTCGGCTGCGACGGCAACGTCGTGAAACACGTTGGCCCCCTGACCAAACTGCATCTTGGGATTTACTCCTAGAATCGCAGCACAAGATTGCCAGACATTTATCGCGTTGAATAGAGTAAAGGGGAACTATATGCTCCCTTTGCTTCCCAATCTCCGAAATGCTGTGACTCCACCATGGATCCTCTACAGCTTTCAAGGAAGCTGTTGGGGTCTATTCAGATTGGTAACGCTAGTTATGCGACCTGCCAAACTGGACTTGAAGAAACACGTTCCTTTGTTTTGGCTCGCTGTAGGATCTAAGGCAACCAGATGACGCGTGGCAGATGCCCAGACAGCTGTCCTGCCAAACCTGCACACATCTTCGGGTTTCTAGAATTTCGGAGTCTTGGTTTGTGTGTACTAAGAGGGCCAGTAGCACACTAGGGTCTATAGTGTAGGTAGAAAAAGGCCAAAATTCCAGCTCCTAAAGTCCAGTTGTTGAATTTGGGGCCCAGATGATGCTGCCCCCAAGTGGGTTGTGCTCAGAAGTATGGGCGTTTTGGTTTTAGACTATATTACGGGACCTCATATTTAGGGGTACCAAAGTGGGACCCTAATTTTAGAGCTCCCTAAGTGTCTTCCTGTGAAGGGAGTGAGCAGGTGGCCGTCCCCATCGTCGCGCGCTACATCCCCAGATTGGAGAAGCTTTTCCTGCTTACCTGGACCCTCATTTGCAACGCATATGGAAGTAGTAGTGATCCAATATGCGTGATAACCCCTAAACAGCACAAAATCACGCTCGGTCTGCTCATGTGAAAAAAGTCCACCCCCTATATCACAGTATATTTCCACACAAGGGTGACCCCTATTCATGAAAATCACGGTCAAGGAATCAGCACGTGACCGGATCTTCCTTCAGCAACGTCTCTGCAACGGAGCTTTACCAGCGAGCCAGGGCCAAGGGAATGGAGCAGCTGTCCTGCACAGACATGAGGGAGATTCTCCCCAATAATATACTATATAGCAGTTTCCGTTTTCCTTTTCCATGATCCTTACATAACCCCAATCTACTACATATTAGTTTCCATTTTCTTTTCCTCATCCCTATATAATGGGAAAGTCGGCCTATATAGGATTTACACAGGTAAGAAGTGTGAGGGACATGTGGGCGTCTCAAAGTCAATGGTCCGTTCTTAGAGATTCATAGCATCCTGGGGGGTTTGAGGAATCTCCTTTGCTTGGTCTAGGGCTTGGGATTTAGCCGTGCAGTGTCTTCACACTCCCTGGCCAGCCCAGCATCCTGAGGGAGAGGACTTGAAAAAGATAGAGGGTTTTAAAAAAACAAAGAGGCATCAAAATTCAAACAGAGATCAACAGCAAAGATATTGGAGTTTGTAGTAAAACTCAATAGTTGAAGCGTGCCGAGCAATAGGGGCCAAAAACAAATACTGGATTTTGTTGTATGACCTCAACGTGCTGGAGGCCCCATCGGTCCGGAAGGAAGCCTGCGTCAGTGCAGATCCGGAGAACCCGCTATGTCAGTTGCACCTTTGCTGGATATGGAGTGAAGCTGTTAAGTTCAAGGCGAGGGCACTGAGATCTAGGATTCCAACGCGAAGTTGTTGCAGTTTTTAGCCGTAGGTCTGTACGCGTCGAATATTACATCAAGAGACTAAAAGCCCGCAGTAGCTACCAGCACTTGTGCAGCCAGAAAACCCTGTGTAACGGGGACTTCTGCCCTTTGCGAAAGACATCGGGACCACCTAAACCCTAATCCCTTCCCTCATATCCTGACGTAGACCTGACAATTATGCTCTGGAAATCATCGAAGGATGGCAGGGCCTCCCTGGCCCCAGGGCTTCTCTGGACTTGCTGGTGCTTAAGGGAGAATGGGGGAGTTGATCCTCATAATACCCTATAGAATGCTCTAAAACAGACCGTGTGTTCACTCCCCTGCTCCCACTCAAGCACCAGTAAGTAAACCCAGGGCTGGCGCTTTTGGGTCCATGCAGGACCATAGAGTAATCTTCGCACGGCGAAAATGGTCCGATTTGGATAATTCTGCCAACATCGTGCTATCATCCTGTGAGAGAAATCCGGAACTCTGATTTGGAATTGAAGAGCCATGGCACGTTTGTCTTCCAGATTAGCGCGCCACTACCCAAAGAGCGCACTCCTCCCAACAAGGACTGCAAACGAGGATGTTTGAGTTTTGTTGTGAACAGCCCAACGGTTTCGACCTTGTTGCCAAAGCTTGGCACAAGAGCCGTGTACAGGCATATGACATATGCATCTGGGCTACCAACGTCTTGGGGGTTCGTAGGAGGTCTGGACTAGGCTTGAATCGAGATCTGTCTCCGGCTCCAACAGTTTCGTGCCAGCGTTTTGAGTGCTTCCATACGTTAGTTCGCAAGAGAATTTCCAAAAGCCTGAGGCCCAAGCGTCATGGCAAAAGGACGTGTGTGTGCACTTGATTTGGGCTAGTAAGTCATTTGCTCCTCGGTCGTTTCCATGGAGCCTTGCGAAACTGGTGTTTGGGCATGTTGCCATCGAGAGAGAGCTTGGTCTCCCCATGCTCAGCAAGTGAACACACGAAGTGAGCAAGGGCTCACTTGCGAAAATGCCTGTGTCCCGCCAAGGCAAGAGAAGTGCCCTACTGAGCCACCTTTGTATTCGTGTCCGGACAAGTGCTGATTCGGGTTGGAATAGCTCTTCGCGCAGCAACGGATGGAGTGAATGCAGGTTCATTGCTAAAGGCCTGTTCAAAAAGGGATGTGTTTTGAGAAGAATATGCCAACTCCCGCTCACTTGCATAGGGGAGTTAGATAGGATTTCGGAAGCTGATCTTGCCTGCGCGTGTTTCTCTCACGCGAACAGAGTGCTGGGGATTCACCAGCTGCTGTACGCTATGTCCAGCATGTGAGTCACAAGGTGCCGGTTTCCTTGGGAAGAGCCAGCCTGCCGGTAAAGAACTCAGCCGATCTGAGCGTTGTCGTGTTTACTGCGTTTGCGGAGAGGGCCGCAGAACATGATGGCAGACGCAGCGATTATGTGGCCGCCAGCTCTAAAAGTTCCAGCGTCCGTCCTTCGCATGCGGAGCGCCGGCTGCCAAAAAAAGAGCGGACGCAAAAAAAACAGCATAGCCGGCACTGCAAGCAGAAGCTGCTATTGATGGTTTAGCAACATTCGCAACATTTTGTGTTGCTAAACGCGGTCTCAGCCAAGAAGTCCTCAAGCTTGGCATTGTAGCAGTGGTTTGCAAAGTAGTTGAGTTTTGATCATGCTGCGTTCGTGCTGTTCTGCCCTGGGCTTGCTGCTTGGCCTGCTGAGTGCACATCCCGCTTCGGCAGTGCGAGCGATTGTTCAGCTGAAGCAGTGCGGGTATAAAAGCCTTCTCGAAGCCAAAGTGACTAATGTGAGGGGCGGAGTGAAGGTGAAGGTTTGTGGGGAGGAAGTGGTTCTTCAAAAAGAACAGACGCAGACAGATGCATGGAGGTTTTTGAACTGGTGGGATCCGGCGCAGAAGGGGGAGAAACTGTCGGATGAAGACCTCAAGACCCTCGACGACTACCTCGGCGACTATGAGTATTCTCGCCCCATCGGCCAAATCGGGCATGGAATGCTGCCGCCGAACTTCGAGGGCTTTCATATTTTTGAGGGTACCACATCTGCAATGGTGCAGGGTATCTTCAAGTTCGAGGTGTCCTTGGGTAACGCGTTGAACCGCCTCCCTACCACGAGCACAGCCCAGCTGTACCGAGGAGGCTGGACACCTTCAGAGCAGCTTAAGGAAATGCAAGCGGCTTGTCAAATCGAAAATGTTGTCTAGCACAAGGAAGGGGGCCCAAAGGGGATTTTGTATAGCTCTTAGACAGAAGGGCCTCCCCACTGTAGAGCACATCATATTGATCCTGACTCTATTGACTTCCCAAAAACGGGGTTAGGCTTTAGGGCAATTTTTGGAAACCATTATCCCTATAATCTCAGTTTCAATTGCATTGTTGATTGTCTTTCTAAATTCTAAACCCCTAAACCCACCCAAAATCATTAAACGCCAAACCCTATACCATCCTATAATCCTATACCTTCAAAGGCCCTAAACCCGAACCCCCCCAAAAACCTTAAACCCCACAATATACCTTAAAAGATCCTAGGCGGCCCTGGGCTCCGGTTCCGCTGTCAGCTTCCCATGGTTCCAGTCGACGACAACCGACGACAGCCACGCC